ATTCATGTCCTATTAATAGCAAAGCTCAGAGGGAATTTAGTTTACAAGGCCCTGATTTGCATATTTCCTGATTTTGCATGTTTACTACTACTACTTTTGAAATGTTTTTTTTAAACAGGTCGTAATTTGCTGTGTAACAAGACGCTATTGCAAATCTGAAATGTGCCAGAGGGAAGTGACATTGGCTGACAACTTAAGGAAGCCAATCATACCCTTGTTATTCGAGTTCATCGACTGGCCGCCTGCAGGACAACTGGCCCTAATTTTTACCAAACTGCTGTATATAGATATGTCCCTTACACCCGGTAACTTTCCAGACAATAAGTTACAAGAGCTGTTTCTTAAAGTTAGAAACTACGTTGAACCTCGGTGATTCCAACGAACTGCTGCCTTCGTTACTTTCTAAAAGTGTAACTTTCTCAAAGGTCTCATCTCCTCGCATTTATAGCCCGACTTTGGGAACGCTGTCATAGAACTCTTTTAACTAATATAAAAAATGTATATAAGAATTTAAGAAAAAAATAGAACTAGCCAAACAGCTATTTTTCAGCCGGTATATCAAAGACAAGACAGAAAGAAATTGACAAGACACGTGCAGCAGGTCAATATAAATTCGATGGTCCCGTTCAAAAGTCACGTTGAGTTTTCAAGCCTTAAGCAACGTTAGCCATACGCCTGGGCCTTCTCAATTTGATTATGTCAGTCATTTTGACTAAGTCAGTTTCTCAAAGAAATAGCCAATCAGTACTTCCTTTACACCACTCGCGTAATGGCCGAGTGGAAATATGCCGTCCATGTTTTCATTTTATATTTTTTGAAAGATGCAGAAATTGTGAAATAGTAAATTTCATACCCTTAAGTGAAAGTAGTGCATTGGTGAGCAAATATCCGACAAGTATCCCACAGGTGTCAACTCGCTCGTGCCTGTGAGGCATGCTTGTAAATAAGCCCATAATGAAAAGGATCGGAAGAGAAACTATTCTGTGGTCTCTGTTCATTTTTTGTACCTTATTTGACCAGCCTCCAAATTGACGTACCTTTTTAGAGGGTCGTCTCTTAAGGTCTAGAGACGCGTTTGGTGTTTGCATTATATCCAGAAATGTAACATCACTAGCCCCGCCTTGTTTCAGGCTCTCAGGGTGTGTTCCTTTCAGCGAATCCAAAAACGGATTTTTGATCCTAGATTTGCCAGATTTCGCGGTCGAAAGGAACGTGAAATCCGAAATTGGATTTGTAACCTTGGTAACCCTTCGCCAACGCGTGCAATATGCACGACAGCCTCTCAAAAAATGACGTGTTTTCTACTGTTTGACAACTGATTAGGCGATTATACCGTGCAGAATTTAGTGGCCAGCAGTTCGAATAGCGACGATGGAACATAAAAAACAGACAAAGAAAGAAGCCCATTAAAAATTGAAAATTATCTAAAGAATGTCGGCCAGTTTGATCTAGTACCATAGCTCGGATTTTTTTATGTAACACGATCGAGTGCCTGTTGCGTCTACAAGCGAGTTTGTAGTTAGATAGCAGTTCATTTGTTACTTTTACTTATTTCTGATTTTTAAGCAATCTTTAGAGACAAATGGTAAGTATATGGATATTTTAATGTACCAGGAACAATCTTCTAATGTTTTCAGATGTTTTGCTGCAAATGACAGCAACGAGGAAACTCTACGGCCTCTATGGGAAAACTTCAACTGGAAATACCGCCGGATAATCTGACTAATTTCGGATCCACTGTGAATGGAACAGCGTAGATTACTAATCCGTTAATCTGGATTTGGATTCTTCGGATTTCAAATCCAATGAATCCTTTTTCAAAAAGGATTCACTAGATCAAAAATCCGGATTTGGATTTGCCGAAAGGAACGCGAAATCCGTTCTTAGATCTAAAATCCGTTTTTGGATTCACCGAAAGGAACACACCCTCAGAAAGTGCGAACGGATGAGTAAACAGGGAAAAACAACGGGGATGTGCGGGGGAAAGACATTTCGCACCCCTCTCCACTATCTAAACGCCATGAACATACCATGTATCGCTGGTACTCATTTACTAGCTAAAGATAGAGAGACAGTGGAGAAGTGTCTTTTCTAAGGAAAAAGGCGCTGGCAAGGTTGCAACTAAGAGTAACAGACCTGAAATACTAGACCACTATGCCTCCGCCCTTGCGGTGAAATAGCAAGTCCATGGGGAAGAAGTGCTACCAGGTCAAGATCCGGCCGTATGGGCCTTATTGGCCCAAAAAGGCGCGCCTAAACTTTTCTCCCTCAATTTTTTGGACTCAGGACTGTCCTGGCCGGTTGTGGTAAAATCCAATCCGGTAATCTCAAAATGAAAAAGAACAACAAGACCCTTTCGGATCGGAGAACAAATAAATAAATGGAAATGATACGGGTTTCTGTTGCGGAAATAAGAGGCCACTTACAGAGTGAAAATTATGAAATGAGCCAAAAGAAGACTTATGCCGTATCCCGGGGGGTACTCCCTTCTATGAGCCATATAGGTATGTGCCGCCCCAAAGGGTAGGGTTTTTGTGCCGTTTTGGTCTGAAAACGGGTATAGAATTAGCCCATTTTGGTCTGGAATCGGGTATGGTTTTCGAGGGAATTACGGGAGTTCATGAACGTATTTGTCTTATCATTGGAAATGGATTTTAAGAAATCTTTTTATTAGCGTTTTAATCTAAGAAATGATGACTTAATTTCTGCCTATGCCAGGTCTGAAAACGGGTATGGGTTTTAGAGGCGTTGAGCCCGTTTCTCGAAAGGCCCGTAAACTTTTCTGGCCCGAAGACAAATTTTGAAAGCAAAACCTGTTGAACACAGCCCCGAGCAAACAAACCGGTCAATCTTGCTTCGTTAACTGATAGTTTTATTGGATCAGTTTACAGAGAAAAAAGCGCTGAAGAAATAGCACGAAAAAGACCTCGTTAGATACAATAAACTTTTCATGTTTCATTGACAATCATTACTCTGATTCTATTATTTATTAGGGACCTTAAGATCGGACGACGGCGACGACTGCGGGAACGCCACAAAAGCAATAGGTTTAATTAGCAAAACAACAATTTTGCACGTGCACACGCTTCTTTGTACATTTCTTTGCCGTCAATGCACGACTACGACGCGAAAATGCTTAATAAGGAAGTACACAAGCGACGACGAGATTTCCTCTCTCTTTCTGGATCTTTCTGAACTTGGATATGGTTCTTAGGAATTCACCTTTAGGAGGGGTCGCTTACATTTGACAAAGTTAGTGAGACTTGAAGTAATCGCGATGAAGATTGAAAGAACGCGAATTCACTTTTTCAGCGACGTTTTCACTGCCTTCACCGTCCGCGGATCTTAAGGTCCCTAATTATAATATTCCGTGTTGTTGACGGGAGTGAAAACTAGATCCTTATGTATCGGTCAAATCGAAGCTTCAACATCCCCACCCAGGCATACCACCGGCATTTGACACCTTTGCCGTCCCGGGGAGGAGGGAATTTGATTATCGGAGTCCTCCAGGGGGTGGGGAATTTGATTCCCATGCGTTAGGGGTGGGGAATTTGAACTGCACCCTCGATTCCATGTGAAATCTCTGGCGTTGTGAGCTATCATGGGGGACGCGGTGTTAGAGGATTTTCGTGGAAAAGATTGTGCCTTTGTGGCCAATTGGTTACGAGAAAAGGGCATAAACAAACTTTGTGCCATATTTGAGTGTATTTAAATTTCAATATTTTTAATATTGAATTCGGGCTTTGAATGTATGAATGTATTAAGTTGTGTTTACAATGAAATACAATACCTATACCAGCGATTCAATACAACAATATAAAATGAAATAAAATAAAATAAAAAGCTCGGGTCAACTACTTTCACCTGCCGCAAGTATGTTAATTAATAAGGTGAGCGATGATGCATGTCCGTGAAATGGTCATGATGTAGTTAGACTGCGAGCAGTCTCTCTTTTTCTTCAGATTTAGTGAGAGCAATGCACGCGCGCGGGAGCGGCGAAGCCGCGAGGCGCGAAACGAGGGCGGCAGCCCGAGAAGAAAAAAGAGCCTCTCCCGTCTCGCGCCATCAGTCACGCGCGTGACCATTTGCGTGTCTCGCGTTTTGCTCACAGAAAAAAGGGAGACTGCTCGTAGTCTATGATGTAGTAATCTCAATAGGTGGGATATTTTTTTTTTTTATTGAACGCTTTGTATGTTGCATGACACACGAAGAAAAGCTGAGCATTCAGTGACCTTGTAGCAGCCATTTCCGCCGTTTTGCACGAGACTTTAATTTGTTCGTAGTAAATACGCTAACAGTGTTTCTCAGTTTTTGTTATAGTGAATGCGAATTATTTGCTGTATTTATAAAGATTTTGATCGACAACTTTGGGCGTTTGCGCCGTCCTTCTGTCATTTTTGTGCCTGTGAAATGTCCCCGGGGTGGGGGCATTTGATCACCTGAATGGACCCTAGTGTGGGGCATTTGAACTGCATTTTGGCCCGGGTAGGGGGGAATTTGAGCAATAATTTTCAAAAGAGTCAAATGCCCGGGGGTTGCCCGGGGGGGATGTTGAAGCTTCGATTTGACCGATACATTAGTCTAGAGTAAAAAAACCTTATTTATTAAGAAATTTTATTATTTTTTTTATTTGGCCAAAAAGTGGGGGGCAGAGCCCCCCTGGCCCCTCCCCCTCCGCGGACGTCAAGCTAAAACAAAAATGCGAAAGTTCGCAATGTTTACCACCGCTGTTTGTATTTCTAATTAAACAAGGATGGCCCAAGTGCAAAAGTCTTTAAGTTACCGGGACTTTCGAGAATCAGGCCCCTGGTTTGATAACGGGTGTGGAAAATGGCCGTTTTTTGTTGAGGGTCAGGATTTTGAGAACCGGGCGGCACAACCCCACCAAAAATTCCCAGGAGTTCCCCGCTAACCCCTACCCGGTGCTGTATACATTTACCCCCTAAAATGGGTTCCCTGTGCACATTCTCGGCCCAGTTTTTTCTCGACCCAAGTGTAGCATGCGGGTCTTCTGCTTCAGATTGCATCAGCTGAAGTTCTTACCGACAGTCTTTAGGTTTCCAAGGTATTTCTCCGTCTCTCCTCTCAAAATGGTGCTTGATCTGGACTTATACAGGGCTGATAAAGGTGGTATCCCGGAAAAAATCCGAGAAAACCAGAGCAAACGCTACAAGGATACAACACTAGTCGACCAAATTGTTGAAGCAGATACGAAATGGAGAAAGTGTGAGTTAGGACTACAATGTAGAACTTATTTAGTTTGTCTGTGGATGTTAATTTACTTACTGAACCATATAATTTTGCCTTTCATCAGTGAGGTTCTCGGCGGATAACTGGAACAAATTAAAGAATTTATGCAGTAAACAGATTGGCGAAAAAATGAAGGTATTACTTCGCTCTCTTTTCTAGAACTCATTCTCCAAATGGGTTGTATGGGCTATCCACGTGTGAAGTTTAAACTGGTCAATCAAATAGCAGATAGTGATTTCTTCCATCTTTGACAGTTGAAAGCTTCAATGGCCTTATTTGAAACTTGCGTCATCTCACTATGAGGATCAGTGATTATTTGTTGGTAGAATTACATTCATCAGCTGTGGCAGCCACACAAAATAGTTATTGTTTTTAATGAGTACAATCGTACATGAAGTAGTTTACTAAATGCATTTTTTTTCCTTTACAGTGAGAATGCATTGTCTTAATTTTATCCGTTTTGCCTGTCTCTGATTATGTTCAGGTTAATTTAATCTTGTTCCAGAAACATCTCCTGACATTGCATTTTTTGTTTCATGTAAAATGGTGAATTGTACTGATTGTAGGGTGCTAAATCTGGTAATAACTAAGTTTGAAAGGAGGTTATTATCCATTTTCTAAAAACGTATGGGTATTTCAGTCTTTCTTTCCCATTTCACAGATCTTGTAGACTATTTTTCTTCTAATAGCTTGGACTCTCTTGTTTAAAGATTGAACATGTTAGTTGTTTTGGGGTGAGGGGAGGTGTTTTAGCAGACAAGTAGTTATCATTTTCGTTGTTTATTATTGTTTGCAGCGTAAAGAACCAGTTGGTGACAGTGAAGAATTGCCTGAAAATGTGGTCAATGGCTTGGAGGAACTTACCCCAGATATATTACAGGTACAGCTCTCAAGGTGCATGTTGCATGCTTCATGTACACTCACGTGAAAAACTGTCTGGGCCAGCAGAAAGGGTGCTATAAAACTGATCCCTAGTCTCCCAAGAAAAACATGTCTTTGGCGCTTACTGCATGTCTAGCAATTTAAATGTCAACAGTCATGACTGATACTTTACAGGATACCGTAAAATTCCGAAATAAGCCCGGGGCTCATATTCTTCAAAGGCCCTTTTTGAGGGGCTTATATTTGGGGGGGCTTATCTTTGGAGGGAAATTACTATTTCAAAATCGATTGGGCTAGCCTTATAGTTGGATGGAAATTTACCATTTTTGCTTTGTTTTACTTTGTATTTGAGGGCAATTTCCAAGTACAAGCCCCAGTAGGGCTTATATTTGGAGGGGCAATTTAGCAGAGGGTTTTTTTTGTGTTATGAGTTTGGGGGCTTACATTTGGAGGGGCTTATTTTCGGAGTTTTATGGTAGATTCTGTCCTCTCAAATTCCATTGGTAACCTTGAGTTTTTATACTAATATTTGGCAAATTGTCAGGCTTGAGGTTCTTAATCTGTGTTGTTTTTTTATACACAGTAGAACCCCAAACCCCATAACTCGCACTAGGTCCAATATCCCTTGGATTTCACCCAGCTTTTCAGACATTTTTTCTTGGTTAACTTGAACTCGGATAAGTCAAATTCCCCACTAACTTGAATGAAATCTCCTTTCCTTTCCCTTTCAGCAGTCAACACTACAGCAATTTGATTATAATTCGTGAAGCTAACGGATCCCATTTTATCACTAAAACTGGTTAATCATTTTACCGTTTCTCATGAAATAAGTTATATTCGCTCTGCCCTATACACTGATGTGCTGAAAAATCAGTAACTATCAATTATTTTTACATGGCAAATTGAAGTTTGCAATCAAACCCAATAACTCTGTATCTTTGTACTTGATAAAAAGCTAGTCTGAAATGCCAGTTGTCTCCTCCCCCTAACCTGTGGAGGGCGCAGGGAAGAGAGATGTTTGAATTCCGGGCATTACAATGTTATCTTGTGAAAGGTATTTCCTGATTGGCCATTACATTTCCGAAATAGAAAACCTTTTAATTATTGGGTAAGAAAAAAATCAGGTTTGAAATAGTATCAACAGACTTAACATGACTCATAATAAATTGCTTGTGATAGTGTGAAATGTGACCTTAGAATTAGCCTCGCTTCACTAAGTAAAGACTTTACCATAGTAGCAACTGACGAGGAATGCTTTCATTCCAATGCACTCCCAGTACAGTCATAGAGACTATTAAGCTAAATCAAAATTAATTGCCAACAGAGGAACTGTAGGAAATTGCTCTCCAGTCTAAAGACTCAGCTGAAAGACTCGCTTCTCTCAAGAAAAACAAAATAGACCATATGAGTGCCTAAAGAATGGTCTTGACAGGCTCACATCACAATTCTCCTTAGTTAGTGTAGCTCCAGTTCATTTAGCTACAATTAAGATCTGAGGTTCACTTACCCGTAAGAATTCAACTTAAGAGCTTGGTCTAGCGTCAGAACGCTGTAGCAGAATATCATCATCACATTTATGAAAAAAAACTACATGCTTTCAGCTTTTCAGGTACTTTGGGGAAAACCAACTAAAGTAAAATCTTTATTGAAAGGGTATGTAGTTGCAATAAAAAGCTTAAGACTTCAACAGAGGTTAAAGAAAATCAGTACTAAACTACATCTGTGATCAAATCCTGTCAGACCCACGGGAAATATATGCATGAAACTGTGAGACCAGCTTTATAACCTCTAAATGTTAGACTTAAAGCAGCAAAAGTAAGATTTGTTCAGTTAGAGTTAGGAAGACTCCGTGTACTGTATAACCTAAGTGAAAGAAAGAAAAAGGGAAAACCTCTGAAGTTCAAGCAAACTCTAAGGTCACATTTATAACTATCACGAGCTTATGAGTCGTGTTTATCCTGTAAACACTTCATTTTAAACGTGAAAAGTTAAACGCCTCTTTTCATTTATTCTGGAGGCAAACATTATAATGCTTGGAAGTCAGGCATCCCCCCCCCCACCAGGCCCCTCATGGGTTAGTGGAAGACAACTGACATTTCAGACTAATAAAAAGCCAAAATTCTGCAAATTTCAAAATTCGCTTCAATATTCCAAAAACGTAACAAAAAACAACAAAATTTTATTGTTCTAATTTACATAAATGATACCCTGATGAGGAGGGGGGGGAGGGGAGGGGCTGTGCACAGCTCCCCCAAAATAACTATAAGGATATGTGCTGCTCAAGGGGATCTTGATTTAGGGTGACCTTCTGATTTACCTATTTTAGTTGATTAGTAGCCTTGTAACTGAAAAACCCCTTTAGGGAGTTGCAATAAAGTATGTATGTATGTATGTATGTATGTATGTATGTATGTATGTATGTATGTATGTATGTATTGAACACTTTTCCTAGATAAGGATATACAAAACCTTTAGAAGAGGAATTGCTGAGAACAGGTTAAAATTGGCCTTTTTCTTCCATGGATTCTAAAGGTCATGACTGTAGGTTGGAACTGGTCGACCTATTTTGTTCGTTTATGCTTCATTGTAATAATTATGATTGATGGAAGGAAAAAAAGTAACCTTTCACTATAAACAACAAAATCAAGGCTTCATGACCAGCAGTTCAATTTCCAAGCCTTTTAAGTTACAACCCCAGATTACATGGTCTAGTGATAAATTATCCTGTCTTGGAAACTTTTTTTTTTAAATTTTGTGCTTTGAGCAGCTTGTAGGTCTCCTAAAACCTGCTAATTGGCTCAGACAGCATTCTGAGAAGGTATTGTTAGTTTCCTGTAATCCAATTGGTTAGTTTTGTTTACGTGGCCCTGGTTACAATGATAATATTGTCACCTTGAAACAACCAAATATTGAATGAATTCTTATCAAACAGGGTCTCACTGTGACTCAAATCAAACATATCCGAACACTGATTGATGGAAATATAGCAAAGTGTAATGAGGAAGTCATACAAGTGGAGCAGCTTAGAAATGAGAGGCTATTTGAGGTTGGAAACCTTCTTCATGAGTCTGTTCCTGTCAGCAATGATGAGGTATTTTAGGGCTATGCTAGGAAATGTATTGTGCATATAGTGGAAATTGTGCATTAATTTTGTCTGTTTGGAAAGAAGGAAACAGTGTCACCTTGTGTCCTTAAATAAACTTGCAACGTGGGCTAAATAATGAAAGAATTAAGAGAGAACAATCTTTATGAAAATACTTTGTTCAAATTTGTTTGGATTGATTTTACAGAGTTTTATTTAGGTAGATTTAGCATGATTTGTCATTCACTGGGTTAAAACTTGAAGAGTTTGAGGTTTTTTACTAATAGAACAAAAAAAATTAAAAATTTAAAAATTAAAAAAAAAATTAAAAGAAAGTAGGTGTTATGTGGCATGGCCAAAGTGGTTGTTGCAGGAAATTGCTCAAGTTGCATGCATTGTTTGTGCTCAACTCTTAGCAGATGACTGCAGATCTTTTTATGTAAATCCTTGTTTCTACCTTGCTGCACTCAGTCCCAATCTATATGGATCAACCTTTGCTTTATGCATGTTAATAATAAATTACATGCAGTTTGCTCACTAATTTCCTTTGCAGCTACTCAGGCCAGAGTCACACAATGCTCCCTGGTGCCACGTGGCTGCTTCCTTTCCCAGAATAGAGCCAATCAAACTGCGGCTTTCATTTTCCTGTGAATTCTCACACCAGAAATGCCTTCCAATCACTTTGATCCTTTTATTTGACCAGATGGTGGTGTCTTTGGCAGATTTCTACTCTTTTTAGCATGGAAATTTGGTATACAGGCTTTTAATTCACATCAGAAATTAGCAATTGCATAATTAATTGAAAGAAAAAAATGACATTTTCATTAATTTTGCCAACTGGCTCTGAAAATCTCTAATTTTCAAGCATTGCTGCAAGTTATCAACCACACATCATATCGTATCCTGCAAACAACACTTGGGGCTGGGCCTAGTGTCAAAACACAGCAGGAAATCTTTACATTCACGGATAAAAAAACTACATGTATGTAGGTATTCTGTTCTAGAAACTAAAACCACACATCATGTCGTATCCTGCAAACAACACTTTGAGCTGGACCTAGTGTCAAAACATAGCAGGCAATCTTTACATCCATGGATAAAAAAACTACACGTATGTAGGTATTCTGTTCTAAGCATTTCGGAGAAAACCTAAGAAACTAAAATCTTTAATGAAAGGCTATTTAGCTGCAATAAGACTAAAAGCTCAAGGCTTTAAGACAGGTCAAAGAAAATCAGTGCTTAACTGCAACTGAGATCAAATCCTGTCGGGAAAAATCCACAGAAACGTAAACCACAGGGACGAAACTGACCAGCTTCATGACCTCTATTAAAATGTCAGTGAGACTCAGAGTGACCAAGGTTAGATTTTCTCAGTCAAATTTTTATCATAAATCTCCATGTACTGCATCACGTACATGCTGGAAAGAAAACAATTAGAGAATGAAAAACCTCCGTTATTTTAATTAGCAAACCATCCAAGGTCATGTTTTACTCTATCTTGAGCTTAAGAGTCATGTTTAGCCTGTCAACATATAACTAAACGAGGCGCTCATCGGTCTGGGTAGACTAAACCGCAAAACAGTGGGAAAGGAAAGTACATTAGTTTGAAGCAGCCATGTGGGGTTGGGGAGCATTGCATGACTCTGGACCAAGCAGCTGGGAAGGAGACTGTTTGCTCAGAAGTTAACTCAGAAATCTTATGACAAAACTTGAGCTTGTTGCCCATCTAGAATAGCTCCGCTAATTGTGGGTAACATAGACCTAACTCATTTGACAATTGAATAAACTGTTGCTGTTGCTGTTGCTGTTGATAATAGAGGATAGAAAATGGGATGATCGGTGGCAGATCAGTAGCCTGACTGCTCGCAGGGTAATCTTTAATGTGCCATTTCTTACTCCTTTGGTGGAACTACCACTAGGCTGAAGCCTGGTAAGAACACTGGTTGTGACTAGCTAGATCATATCACAGTACAGAATAAAAAGGAAGTTCTCATACTCTTTGGCATTAGGCATCATTGTTAGGATAGTACTGACATTTTCATGTTTTCTTATGTAATGTTTTCATGACTCTCATAATATGACATTTTTGCTACAGGAGGATAACAGAGTAGAGAGAACTTGGGGTGACAGTTCAGTGAGAAAGAAGTATTCACATGTTGATCTGGCTTACATGGTGGACGGAGTTGATACAGAGCGTGGTGCCAATGTAGCTGGTAGCAGAGGATACTTTCTCAAAGTAAGTTTTACAATAATTATTCTTTTGCCATGAAACTTAATGTACAAAAAAAAAGAATAACATTTTGACCATCCAATGTTCATTGTCAAGTTCAGAAGTAGAAGTTTAGCTTGTGCAATTGTGAAAGGGTTTATGAGATACTGACTAAAGAACTCTGAAATATTTACATAGAAGCAATGCAAGAAAATTACAGCGTGAATGATAATGGAACGCTAAAACGATGAAAGATATATAAAAGTGAAATAATTAAATAATAATTAATAATAATAAAATTATATTTAAATTTAATTATTGTTAAATATAATTATCATTAAATATTTAATAATTTAAATTTCCCTTTTAAATATCTTTTATCATTTTTATCATTTTAGAGCACTGGAATATTACTGATAAAGTCCAGGGTTCAGGGTTGACATATTCACTGATCAGAACACTGATAGTTTTTCACATTTGTCCTTTGCTGTGATTCTTTTGAATTTGTGATTTTATCAAAAGCAAATATTTGTTGTTTCTGTGATAGTGATAAAAAATTGCCAGCACAAACACACATGCCTCATACCAGTGAGCATAGTCTTGGCAACTTAGCTAAGGGAATGATTTTCTTGGGGATCACAGGGTTTGATTCACAGTCTCATCATGTCCAATTATTGTCTTGTGGTGATACTTGTACATTACAACTTCACGCCGATTTAAGTGTGTGTTTCAGAAATGGGCATAACCGCTGGATTTTGTACCCTGAAGGCTCAATTTATTCCTCCGGACTTTCTCTTCGAGAGTGCTCGTTTTGACTCGGTTCAAAGAAGGTGAGATTTTATGGCGGAAGGCTCAGAAGCGAATTCAAAGTAATTGAACAATGGCTTAATTAAGCTGCCCAGGGCCGCGAAGTTTTAAAGGTATCCTTTTGTTCTAAATGTGTNACAAACACACATGCCTCATACCAGTGAGCATAGTCTTGGCAACTTAGCTAAGGGAATGATTTTCTTGGGGATCACAGGGTTTGATTCACAGTCTCATCATGTCCAATTATTGTCTTGTGGTGATACTTGTACATTACAACTTCACGCCGATTTAAGTGTGTGTTTCAGAAATGGGCATAACCGCTGGATTTTGTACCCTGAAGGCTCAATTTATTCCTCCGGACTTTCTCTTCGAGAGTGCTCGTTTTGACTCGGTTCAAAGAAGGTGAGATTTTATGGCGGAAGGCTCAGAAGCGAATTCAAAGTAATTGAACAATGGCTTAATTAAGCTGCCCAGGGCCGCGAAGTTTTAAAGGTATCCTTTTGTTCTAAATGTGTCAATAAAACTGCAGAGAATTATCGCACATAATGCGGTAGAAGTTTATGGATTTAAGTCTTTCGCAAAACTTCATCATCTTGGATACGTATTTTTCAAAAAGGAGAGTTTTGAGAGCTTCAAAAAGAGATCTTGAACAAGAAATTTCGACCACTGTGGACCGAGATTGGATTTTTTTTTCATGCCGAGGTTTCGAAGTACAAAGCAAGCCGCTGAAGCATTTTTTCTCGCCTATCGCTTAATAAAATCCGGCCAAGAGTTATCCATTCATTCAATTATAACAGTCATTTAATTATTTCTCCAGAGCAATGAAACTATACAAGCGTTTCTACAAAAATATTTCGAGGAATTATGAACTCCGCAAGTTTTGATCTGTCGATTATTGCTCTTGTTTTGATTTTAGATATTTCCTGTCTCACTCAACTACTCCGCGAATCAGGTTGTCATGCAAATCGGTGAACCGACAACACGCGGTTACTTCGGGCCCCGCAGTCACGTAACTGAAACGCAAGGTTTTATTCAACAACAAAAAAACTGAAATGCAAGCGAAAACGTCCAAAAAATTGAAATTAAATTAAAGTTAAATGCATTCACCGCTTGAGTTGTTTACATTGTGGAGCGCCGGGGTATGATACTGAATGAATAAAACGTTGTAATAAATACCTTCCGCAGCAATTCTTTAAACGCCAAATTATTTTCAAGGCAAGCGAGTATTTAATAAAAAAAAAATACTATAGGAGACCAGGTATTTATAAGCTTTAATCAACTTCAAATTTATCAGGCTTGTTTCCTTTGTAACACGGTGCGTGACCGAAAATATGTTATGCAACCAGAGTTGTCCGCCACGCTAAAAAGACTTGTAAGCGTTCCCACAGACTGCAGCAAATTTAACAGGCAAGTCCGAGTATTTTAATGCGTAAATTTAATACTCATCAAGTAACAATGGGGATTAAAAAGTTAATCAAGCAACAAAATTCGAAACAAAAGAGACATATCGCACCTAAATCAAAGGAATTCCGCTCGTGGATTCTTCGGAAGGTAATCGACAATGGCAAGAACAATAGCCTGAATATATGAATACTTAATAACCCCAAAATTTGGGGTACACACTTAAATCGGCGTGAAGTTGTAATGATCAGTGGTGGTTAAATAATCATTTAGTTGTGACTTTTCAAATAAAAGATATGGCAGTACATTTTAAAAGTCTGATTCATATTACAGACTGTGAATGAAATCCTGAAGTTTTCAAAGGAAGCTGATGTGAGCAGCACTTGTCTATGATCTGTTTGTGCTGTAGCTTGGGAACAAAATTCTTTAGTGTTGTTACTGGCTTTGTGGAACCTCTGTGTTACAGGGTTCGTACAGGTCATGGAAAGCCTGGAAAGTCACGAAATTTAAGAATTTCATTTTCAAGGCATTGAAAGTCGTGGAATGTAATTATCGGTCCTTGAAAGTCATGCAGATGGCAAAGCAAGGATAATGCAAGATAAAGAGGAGTAGTTAAACAGCATGAACAGCACACATTTTGGTGGATAGCAGAGTTTGTTTCTGTTGAACTGTTCAAGGTAAAAAATATATGCTAAAACAAGTAAAGTTTTGAAAATTTTCGAAAATGACATCTAAACCTAAGGTGGTGGAAAACTAAAAATGTCATGGAAAAAGTCATGGAAAGCTATGAAATTTGAAGAACTTAAAAGAGTAAGAACCATGTGTTACCTCAACACAAAATAATCAGTGTTAATGATTTTTTCCTTTAGGGGCCACTTGTCTTCCTTGAACATGCTCTGATCCAGTTGGCAACACGCATGTTGCACAAGAAAGGATTTGTTCCTCTTTATACGCCATTTTTCATGAGGAAGGAAGCCATGCAAGAAGTTGCTCAGCTTAGTCAGTTTGATGAGGAGTTGTACAAGGTCTGTATCAGATAACTAGAATAATCATTTTGTTTCTGTAGCTAGAGTCTGGCATGTAGGAATGTATGCACTGTCCCCATTACTTTCAAATTTTTGGAAAAAAAATTAGATGTATTCACTTAAGATGCAGTCAACACACTATGAATAAAAATACTGCATTAACCTGCACAGCTGGTCTATAAAACTGCAGTGTGGGTTTGAGACAGGCAAACAACACAGACATGTTTTGCACTTTTGAATGGTATGCATGTATGTTTTTTGTTTTTTTCTTGAAGAACACACTCAAAAGTGTATTTTCTTTGTTACTTGGCCATTGTCATAATTTTTTTAAGGTTTTTTTTTTATAATCAAAGAACATCACTGCCCATCACATATGATTAAATTTAAGGTTCTCAGTGATTAAATTAGAAGCCTATCAATAGTTTATTTTTCTTGTCTTGGATTAGGGTAATGTTTCTGGAACAACAAAAACAACAACAACAAGAAATTGGTCAAGTTGAACCAGTAGATTTACCAAAAAAACATGGTTACCTACACTTACCTTTAGTTATTCCATGGTTAATTCAACTTAATCTTGAGTCCTTTTGTTAAGGGATCAGTACAATGTGCTTTCAGGTGATAGGCAAAGGTGCTGACGAGGCTGGTTATGAAGAAAGATATCTCATTGCTACTAGTGAACAACCAATTGCAGCATTTCATCGTGATGAGTGGTTAGCTGCTAATGAGCTGCCCAAGAAATATGCAGGCTTCTCAACATGTTTCAGACAGGAAGCAGGCTCACATGGACGAGACACTCGTGGTATTTTTAGGGTTCACCAGTTTGAAAAGGTTGGTCAGGTTTTGTGTAATACAGTAGAACCTCTCATAAGCAACCACCCAAAATGCCAAGGCTCAGCTAGCTTTAAAAGGTGGTTATTAGCAAAATGTCCAGGAGTAAATGGGTTTCAGCAGTAACCTACTCTTAGGCCTGGTTCAGACACGAAACTTTTCATGAGCTGAACAGCCTAATTCGAATAAAGGCCAACCCAAATTATAAAGACCGGCTGAATTGATTCAGACGCTGATCTTAATTGCAGCTGAACTAAGATCAAAAGGCGACAAATGCTCATTTTGGTCAAACTGCTTACAAAATACGTTATAATAATTTATGCATTAGGTTCAGTACATGAAAAGTTTGGTGCCTGAATCAAAGCCGTTCCAAAGTCACTCCAAGGGCGAAATTCCCAGCCGGACTAGGTGAAAAGAACGGCTGAGCAGTTCCAAATTGAAACAGGCATCCCTAATTGATTCAGACACCAAACTTTTCATGTACTTAATTCAATGTATTAGGTTCGGCTCATGAAAAGTTTGGCGTCTAAACCGGGCCTTAGATTCATTTGTATTACTTCCAATGATAGACAATAAATACTTGATTGTTTTTTTAAATTGACACTTGCTGCCAGCTGGTTGCTGCACATTAATGTCTTTAATTCAGCTGCTCCATATTTAAGAGAAATATTTTGTAACTGTGGATTGTCTTCTTATAGATAGAGCAGTTTGTGATCTGTTCTCCTCATGACAACACTTCCTGGCAGCTTTTCCATGAGATGATTGCCAATGCTGAAGAGTTCAACCAAGCACTTGGGCTTCCATACAGAATAGTTAATATTGTGTCTGGTGAGTCACATCAAAGAAATCTTTTATGATCCAGCAAATTAATAAATAAATATATGTGCTTATAGTGATATGTATTTTGGGCAAATCACTTTGTCTTCATCATCCTGTTGTGGGGCTGGTAAGGGGACTAGTAAGCCCTGTTATGGTAAAATTTTGAACCAGTGACATGGCTTTTAAACGTTGTCAAAAGACAGATGAAATGCCAGTAAGCGACATGGACATTCACAAATTCAATAGTAAAATACCAACAGGGACATACATACAGACATGGCCTCCTCCTCAATACCCGGGGAGGAGACTTCCATATGAAAGGGGCAGGGATGCTCGTCAGGAATTTTGAATTAAGCCCCTAAAGGAGACCAATTTATGTGTGGCCCAACCTTTTTTTTGACCCCTAAAAGAGATCATTTTAAACGAGTTGAAAATACATAACTTTTTTATATTTCTTCACATGCAATGCTAAAAGAGACCTTTACTTCTAAATATAATGGCGTTTTGAACAGAGCACCCTAAGTGAGACCAAAATCCTAAACTTACACCCGTTCTTGAAATTTGTTTGTCTGAAGCTGTACCATGTACTAACCCGCATTTCATTACTGCTAATATGTATCCAAAGTGTGGAATTAAGTGCTAATTTTGCAACAATATCTTTAAGGATGATCTGGAATTCTTTATTGGTATAATCTTGGATAAGGGTTGTTATCATTATTGTTCCTGTACCCTCTTTCAAATCATGCTTTTACATCGTATAAGTGTCTATTGTTATTACACTGTTTTGTAGACATTATTAGGAAGTTGATTGCATCTATAAATAATGGTGGTTACATTTGACTGACAGGTGAACTCAACAATGCAGCAGCAATGAAGTATGATCTGGAGGCGTGGTTTCCTGGAAGTGGGGCTTTCCGTGAGTTGGTGTCCTGTTCGAATTGCACAGATTACCAAGCAAGAAGACTAAAAGTTCGCTTTGGTCAGACAAAGAAGATGGGAGAAGGGGTATGGCATTAATTTCTTTTCTTTGCTTCCTTGACGATTCCTTCATAAAATAATTAGCATGTTTCTCTCAAATTCCATCTTCCCAGAAACCAATACTATTGTCACTTCAGCTTCAGTTTTTTTGTTTGGTACATTTGTTACCTTTTAGATAATGCTCAAACAGATGTCTGTTTTTGGTAGCGAAAGGTGTAAATGGCAGGTTGCAGTTTACAGGTTGGAGGTTGCAGGTCAGAATTTCAGATACGGTCACGCAAAAACCTGAAGTGGCGAAAAAAGGGCTCACATTCCTTTTTAATCCCAGACCACCCCCAAGCTCCTGAAATAATAGAAAAAAAGACTTAACCGTACTTTAAAGACCACCACAGATGAGGTCCCCTAGGTGTTGGCATGAAAAAAAAACAACAACAACAAAACAAAACGGAAATGTCACGTACAAAAACTCCCAAAAAAACTCCCAGAAGTACCTTAAAAGAGCACCCCGTGAAATTTATATAAACCAACCCATCAATGCCGAGAAGACCGTCATCCGTTGTCTGCGATCGTATTTCGGGATGTGCCCTTTATAGTTCCATTTCAGGGGTTCAGGGAACGCCTAAGAACAAATTCTAGGGCTCGAGAAGGCATAAAAGCACTATTTTGGCCAACCGCGTTCCCAGGGTTCTCTCCTACCCGTCTCTCTCGCTCCGTAGGGACGAGTAGGAAAGAGAACCTGGGAACGAGATTGTATTTTGACCCACTTCCAGTTCTTATGGACACTTCCGGTCTCGGTGTGACCTTGTGAAACGCGGAAATTTTGATCTGCAACCTGCAACCCACAACGTAACCTGCGATCAGGTTTTTTTCCTTCTTCGTTTTACAAGAAAGAGAGTATAGGGAGAGCATGATCGCAGAGTACCCGCAACCTGCAAACTGCAATTTACACCCTCCGTCTAAGTAGCTTATGTCGAAAAAATCAGCAGTTTCTTATTTCGGAACAAGATTCATAGCGTTTTGGTCCACAGTGTCAAAAGGATTAGTCGCAGTTTTATTAGGAGTCATCTGTGTTGTTCCGGGCCAAAAACCAACTCAGTTACCCTTTCACTTCGATTTCTTTTCTTTTCCTTTCTTACAGACGGAATATGTTCACATGTTAAACGCTACAATGTGTGCTGTGTCAAGAACCATTTGTGCGCTCCTCGAGAATTACCAAACAGAAGAAGGAATAGCTCTTCCTTCTGTCCTTAAACCACTTCTTCCCGAGGGTTTGGATTTTCTTAAATTTGTCAAATCCGCACCGATTGAGGAAAAACCAGAAGCTAAGAAGCAAAAAAAGAAGACAAAGAACAAACAAGGCGCTCAAAGTGATACATGTTTAGAAGCTAAAATGGAAACTATGGATGTCAGCAAAGAATGAATCAAGACCAGACTCGTACTTGTTAATTGAATCTGTGATCGGTGTGATCCGATACGTTATGGGAATAAATTCGTTGTCGCTGTAGCTTTGATTATAAAAATAGTCGAAGTAAAAAGTTATAAATAGCACTCTATTAAGCCTCTTTAAGCTTTGAGTAGGAGAAAGGAAATGCGTAATCTTCGTCGCCGAAGCTTGCGCCCTTCTAAAAGGAACTGTTCTCCGCGTTCGCGTGTTTTTCTTCTTTCAGAGCAAAATGACTTGACTGTTTTAGTTCTATAGACAAGTGTATTTACCGTGATATGGTATAATTTTCATGGCTATAAGTATATAGGTAAATATGAGGAGCTAAACGATGAAGTGAACCACGGTGAGAGAGGTAGGAGTCAATTAGAGAATGCGTGCGTACTTTTCGCTTACGTTTGGTCTTGCTTGGCCCGCAACACGGGGCATCGTATCTAGAAATTGTTGTCTTGATCTATCAACTTTCACCAGGACAAACGAATTGTCCCAAGTTTCTGTTTCTCATGAGTAGAAGTCTGAATAAAGTAGCACAGCACTCTCTCAAGTCTTGTTTGACTTTAAAACAAGAAACGCGCGAGACTTTTGTTCTCAGTTATGCGGTTTACTTTACGGTTTATCATATTAATGTATTGAGCAGACTAAACCATTAGTGGAGCCTTGACTTGGAAATCACTACATTAGAGGGTGATGTAGGGTGGCTGCTGAATAGAGGCACGTCAGAAGTTAGCGGCATATCCTTTAGCCAAAACTTCACTTCACTTTATGGAGCTTCTGACAACTTTCACTCAACAAAACTACTAGAGTATATCCTAACAAACAAGCAGATTCTCCTCAAACTGTCGTGGTGAGGTTTTGCCAACTTTGCACAAACAATACTTCTGTTTATACTATGGCGTAAACTTGATAATGCATCGGACTAAGGCGGCGATGTCTGTAATAGCCTATGCCAGGCTCTCAGATAGTATAGTGCGGACGTATTAAAGCGAGCAAAGCAAGCGCGACCTTGGAAAGGGGGCGGTGACGGCGAGAAAATGGGAGAGAGACGACGCCCTGTCTCTCCCCAGCTCCCGCGCGTTTTCGCATTTCTTTTTACTGACCGACTTTTCACCACTATCTCAGAGCCTGGAACAGGCTATGCCTGTAACGGAAACGTCGTTACATTACAGGTCCACAATCTGTCATCACCCATTATGACTATTTTCCTTCAACATATTTTCAACACAGAGCCAGACTACAGGTGTATCGTATATCGAACGTTAGGTGGCCGCTCTATAGAGGTGGTCAGGATGGCCAAAAGGTGGCCGCGGCCGCTTAATAGTAGCCTGCGAACTGAAGACTTTCTCCTCGCTCATCGCCGCTGAGGGGCGTTTCCCCCTCGCGAAACGTCCCTCAGCGGCGATGAGCGAGGAGAAACGTCTGCCGTTCGCAGGCTAGCTTAATAGAGGTGATCGCTTCATGGAGGTTTAACTAACAATTCTATTCTCCTCTTCTCATAGTAGGGTCCTGTGTATACCGCTTTCTTCTATTTCAGCATCATGTAACTAATCTTTTGTATATGGACGTAATCCCAATAGTCAGGCTCTAGAATCGATGCCTTTACAAAGGCTTCGCAACGATAGGAAGAGCTGATGTCAACCGTGAAGAAAAGTTATACCCGCGGATGCAATAGGCCACTTCCGAGTTCCTGAAACCCTCAATTTCAACATGAGGTGAAGTGCGCAACCTTTCCTCGGCACGTTCTTCTCGTGTGATGGCGGCTCCGCCGCCAAAATTGTTCCTCGAACTTGCACGAGTTAGCCTGCTCGCAAGCTACGTTAATTGAAATAACTGTACTGATATCAGGCACACTCTTTGAACTGACTTTGAGTCTTACCCTCTGTTGTCATTCTTTGAATCTTCAAGCGCACCATGGTGGGACCTTCATTGTAAAACCTCCCACGAAAACATGAGCGAGCACGTATGAACACATCCGGCTCGGCGAGTAACAACCTCCTTGATCTGCATAATTCTCCGATCGTATGCAAGGCGAAACCAAAAATTGTTTTAGTATCATAAACTTATGAAAGCAGCGGCTGCCTGAGGACTCCAGGATTCCACTCCCAAGGAAAGCGAAAGGCAAATTTTCAATGGAAGGGATTTAGATGAGCCAGATTAAAATAGGAAACGAAGTGGCCTGAGAGAGAAGTGGAAGGCTCTTGCCTGACTTCAACCATTGATTTTGCTGACCTCAGTAGCACATTTCAAACAATTTCTTATCGCAAGTTATTTCGTTAGCTAAGTGTACAAAATCGAACGCTTTCTTGACAAACAAATAGATCAATAATTGGTTAAAACAGGCCACTTATCAATAGGCCATTTCCGAGTTTCCCTGGGCTTCTGTATCAAAACGAGGTTAAGTGCTCAGCCTTAGCCTGCGTAGCACGCGTCTCCGTGCTGTTTCAGAGCAAAGAAAGACCGAGGAACGAGATTCTCGGTTTTGGCTACGCGAGAAATGAAACGAGAGCCATTTTTCGCGCGCTCTTTGACTCTTGAAACAGCACGGAAACGCTTGTTACGCAGTCTAGCTCAGCCTTTGATACGAAAATGATTTTTTATTCTCATGCAAATAAAACTCATTTTCACAAGAAAAGTGATTTTCCTTGGCTGGCTTGATTTTCCCCGAAGTCTGCTCACAGGCTACAATTAACTTTGCACGTCGTTACCAGGGTTCTCTCCTATTCGTCGCTCCATAGGGACGAGTAGGAGAAAACCCTGGGAACGACGTTGATAATGTTGTTGTATTGACCACTACAGAAAATACTATAACACACTACAATGCCCTTTGTTTGTCATCCCAGAATTGTTCATAAACATTGTTTTCGTTTATCTTGTAGCCTGCGTAACTGGCGGTATTGTGTGGGTGCGAGATTAACGTTTTGGCGGCGGAGCCGTGTTCCAAAAAAAAGGGAGTAGGAACGAGGCGATTTACTATTACAACGATCGACTATATTACAACGGCTCCGCCGCCAAATCTCACTCGACTACTGCACAATACCGCCAGCTACGCAGGCTATTTCTCTTGGGGCCATTTTAACTCTCAAGAGAAACTCAAAACAATGCTCACGCAAAATTTTGGGGTGTCAAACAAAGAGCATTATGGTATGTTATGTTATTTTCTGGAGTGGTCAAGCCTGCGAGACAGACCGCAAAGTCATATGGGTAGCTGTAAATCCCTTACTTCACGGTTGTCAGTGCCTTAGTATGGTATTAAGCTTCACAAACATTTACCTTTGTCGTTTAATGACAGAGGAATATCGCTTCATGGCGGCTAAGTTTAAGATTTTTTTAATGAAATTTCCCGTATTGCTTCGCGGTCTCGTCGTTTAGCCTATCCAATAACATTAATTGAAATAGCTGTGTTCCGTAGCATTTTACTTCAAGTCCCTGCAGAAGCCTGTCAATCGGTTTAAGTAAAGGCCAACTAAGCTTTAATATGTGTCACGAAAAGTGAGTGATCCACTTCCAGCTGGAATAGGTTTGTTTAACAAATGCAGATTATGTGACGTTCCTGAGCGAAAGGTCTCAGTTTCCGAATCATCAATAGGCTCTTTTTCAAAGCTATTTCTGGTGCACAACCTTTCATGTAAAATAAATAGCATTGAAATTCAAATTTGTAAACTCATTTTCACATGAGTAGTTGTGAACCAGACCACGCGTCACCAATTATGGGTACATACATATAGACTAGTCCCCATTTTTCCTCAGGGATAGTCGAGCGAGCGAAAAGCGAGCGCGCGTGAAAATCACCCCACGCGAGAAAGGCGAGACGACTCTCCCCGCCGCGTCTCGCCTTTCTCGCGTGGGTTTTTTTCACGCGCGCTTGTGTTTCGCTCGCTTTACTATCCCTGAGGAAAAATGGGGACTACTCGTCGTCTAACAGACATACGCAGACGAAGACTAACATCACGTGGTATGCCATGGGATAAAAACCAGCCAAACTAATTGGGTCGGTCTGCTTTAGTCTATCATTTAGAACCTTTATATATGATAATTGATGTAAATTTGCCTTAATAAAGAAAAATTAAGAAAAAAAGAAGAGAAAAAAGAAATAGAGCACATAGGACGAGTACAATCTCCAACCTTTTTTAAACTTTCTCTTGTCAATACTAATTTCAGGGTGCTTTCGAAAGAGAATTTGATCTTTCGCTGCGCTATGTCTTAGCTGGATGCAGGGGCTGGCTGGATGGATGTCACGAATGTCTTGTATGTTTCTTACAAGCCGTCTTTAAAACCTGTCGAAAGTTTCTGTTTCTTATGGCATAAACAATTGGGTCCAATACAGTTTCTAATACAAGTACGTTCACTCGTATGATACCCGCAAGATGTGAAGTTGGCTGGCCAGTGATGGCGTTGATAAAAACAGCAACTACAGTAGGACTCCAGCAAATCCCAAAAATAACCACAAATAGAAACAAAGTTACGGCAACCTGAATGTCCTCCCCTCTTGATTCTCGAGGGTAGATTCCAAATCCTGATTGCATGTTTGTTATTGTTCTCTGTTCAGGAAAGCGAACTCGTTGTTTGTGAGCCTTAATGGCACAGAAAACTCTTACATAACAGAAGATGACAATCACCGCCGCGGTGAAGACGAAGATGCCTCCGACCGTTATCTGGATGACGCTGGAAGAGACTTGCAGCGCGCACATGTAATCGCGCGCGTTGTTCAATGTGAATGTACCATACCCGATCAAGGGAAGGATGTTGCCTAAAATCGACAAAATCCAAGAGGTCGCTATCATAACTGAAGTGCTTCTTTGGGTGAAAATGAACGGATACTTCACTGGTTTTACAACCCTGACATAACGATTGATGCTTATTAGAATCATTGTGGTCACTATTTCCGTGCTTAATGTGTAGCCTAGGTAAGCCTGACATTTGCACAGTGAGGAACTGAATTTCCACTTGCCACATCCCGTTGCGATCACAAAGATTAAGTAGGGAACAAGCAGAACCATAAGATGGCACACCGATAAATTTAAAACAAATATGTAGGGCACTTTTCTGAGCATTTTTTCCCTGTAAGCGGCGAGAAGTACAAGAAAGTTTCCACTTACGCC